ATTATCACCCCAGGACGCAACTAAACTACCCATAGCAAATTAAACCCCCCGTGACATTCCCTTCTCCTTGATGGAAGTTTACAAGAGGATTGAAAGATCAAAAACAGTTGAGTAAAAGGCAGTGCATGGACAACTCCTCGGGACCCGTTATGATTAATTTCTGATAACATTCATGTTTTCTTTCATTTCGTTCCTGTTAGCGTAGGTGCTTTTGGGGTGAAGGCGGAGGACGTTGGAAATTGCCCATAAATTTCTGGGAGAAATATGTACTATTTCTGAATCGATTGCTTTAACATTATGATAATAGATTAAAAAGGCAAACAACGATGCTAACAGTTCAACATACACCAATGTTCCCTAGGACCACGCCATAGGCAATTTCAAAACTTAGCTACAACATCAATTGATGCCTGCCTGCACTGTAAGATTGAGCAGTGACTGTCCTTGGCACAAAAATTGGTCACAGGAAGTATCTTATCTTAGCGCAACGCTCATGAACGGCAGCAAAGCTGTTACAAAACAGGTGCAGCGTCTCCAACTCCAACACACTTTACTAATGGGATAAACAAGGTTGAATTGAAACATGTTTTGAAGCTAACAACAGTGTCTTAAACTAGAGGAAATCAACTCCTAGTCATAAAAAATAACCTATAACCAGAGAGATGAACAGATCGGTTCGAGGAAATATAGACATTTCATAAAGATCTATTGTGATCTCAAACAACGAGCTATTGTTTAAAGAGTAAAAAGTATAATGAGAATTTAAGAATTTTTATGATTGCCAAACAAAAGAAATATATGACAGAATGGCTGACCATTTTGAACAACAGTATCTCCTGTCGGAACTGGAAGAGCCAAGGGTCAGTAGTAACAACATCTGGAGGGTCGTGAGAGGAACAGAGTACACTCAATGACAAGTAGCATATCAAACAAAGTGATTAATGTTGCATGAACCATTATACATCCATCTTCACATTCATAAAGGCTTAAACCTCATAACTACATATTTCTTCCAAATCTTTACACGACTAGGGGATACATAAGTAACTTGTTCAGCTGTGAAATACAAAAGAATGTGCAGCTAAGAGAGTTTTCTACCTCTGTTAGCCATTAATAAGTGTGTCTTTACACTACAAAGATCTCATAGAGGACAAGCACCTAATTTTGGTTAATCTCAAAGTATAATCCCTAACTTTGACATCCAAATACAAGTCCAAAAATAAGAACATTTCACAGCAGGACCACCTTTAAGATTTAATGAACAATGTAATGCTAGCACCAAGCAAATACTGCAGGTAAACAAGGAGAGGAGAATAATTCCACAATGCACCTTTGAAACCTAAAATTTTCATACTCTATGAATGTTCTACAGTTCATAGCATTAGTATGCTTTACACGATGCATGAAACTGCAAAAACTCAAGAAAAAATCCCACCACAATCAGTCTGCTACAAAGCATGGCAATAAACCAAGGGGTTATCTATCTCTGCCACTACTTCTGGGCATAATGAAGTATGTGAAGCAACCTTCACTCTCCTCTTCAATACGCTTCCTTGATCAGATAATTCTAAGATCTTTGATTGATAACAAGACTGTCCATGATCTTGAACTAAATAGGAGACAACTTTCTACACATAATATGAGCAACCAAAGGAGCATCATTCAAGATTTGGAGTTAAATAAAAGCAACATAACAGTGGTTCAAAACAAGAAAAAGAATTTCAATCAAAGCAAAACACAATAAGCCATGAAATGACAAGCTACGCTATATATTTCCTTTAATCTTAACCAAAAGCAGCTGTTAATTTGCAATAAGATTAGCTGTTTAGTAACGGAAATCTTTCCATGTCTGGGACAGTAACGAAAACAATTCATATCAAAAATAATTGGATGGACATTCAGTAACGAAAACTTAATTAGTATCATCAAATCAACAGTTACTTGTTTATTGTTGTGTGATGCAAGCAGATATAATCTTGAACAGCATTCATCCTTCTATGCGCATGAGGAAGGATTGGCAAAACATTCATCCTTCTATTACAGTTAGGATAGAATCATACAGTAAAGATTAGCTTGTTAGAACACAAGACCAACAAATTTCATCTCACCAACCAGCAAAGCATAACTCAAACTTAAGCGTTAATAAAGATGTAATGTAAAAAAATCAGAATTTAATCACCAAATAACAATAACACATTCATACTGAGATCAATAAAACAAAAAATGGTAAGTGTCCAAGTGGCAGAGTGATTGCATGGTTCCAGAACTGCAAGGCGCTATTCCATAAAAGCCAATTGTTACAAACAGAAATACAAAACAGCCGTTAATCCTGATAAATCTACTTGAAAGAGTGTAATTTTATAACCCAAAAAGAAAAATTTCTAAAAAGTCAGAGCAATAGACTTGCAAAATCAAAAAGAGGGCCAACCGGATCTGAACTTCAAAGCTCAAACTCTTCATCGCGGAGAGCCATCTCGGCAGCCTCTTCTTCCTCCTCATCAAGGACAAAATATTCATTCTTCTCAACTGGCCTAAACATGTAAAACATCACGGTATAGAAGGCCAAACTTGCAATCTCTTCGGCTGCAAAGGCCACCCACTGATATTTATAAGCAGCGATCGTCCTCAATGCGAACACAATAATTCTGGTGAAATACAAGTAACCAATGACCACAATGTAAAACTGCCTAAAAAGTGTCAACTTAGCCAAATTCCTAGCAGCCTTCCCATCTGTTTTCGAAGTCTCCCTCAACGACCTAATGGACCATACAATTGGGAAAATAATCGCACAGCAGCAAATAATGTCCACCAGCAAAAACACCTGATTCCAAGTGACCCAATCTTTGATGAAAGGCCCCGTTTCCCCAATCACAACGGAAGCCACATTAGCCAAGACCTGAAGTGGGACCACAATCATCAGCACCTTCTTCTCCCTCTCTTGCAAAAATGGCTTCAAAAACGACCACCCGGTACCGATCAAAACAATCACAGTAAACAAAAGAACCACGCGAATAAACTGGAAAATGTAGAACAAAACATCCCATCCATGAGGGGTACCGGTGCTCTTCACGTAATGCTTGTCCTCTGCGGCGCAGAGCAGATTCAACGCCTTCATTACCACCAAGAGGCTCATCAGCACATGGATCCGGTGGACGGATAACCTATTCTTACAACAGTAGTATATCCAAAATCCCAGAAATCCAAAATAAATCATGGAAAACGTGAAATATAAAGCAGGCAGCTGGGTGAGGCCCGCGGAGAGGTAATCCTTAACGCGGCCCATGTTATCGAGATTGTAAAGCTCCGTGCGGACCGCCATGGAGACTTTAGATTCGGGGGCGCAATTGGCGAAGAAAAGGGAGTACTCATTGGGGGAAGTGACGGGGTAAGAGTGAACGAAAGAGGACGCCGGCGGCGGAGAGAGGCCCCGGAAGGTGAACAATGGGGTTATGAATTTGGAATCTAGGACGCAAAAAGATGGGGTCTGTTGGAGTTCAAGGAGGACTTGGATGAGGGATTCTTCGGATAGGAGGAAAAACCCCAGGCGAGATGGGTCGGGGGTGGAAAGAGAGGAGACGACGGACACGGAGGACACGGAGATGGTAGCGTGGCCGGTGTGGGTGAAGCCAAAGCGTTCGAAGAGGATCATGGGCCGGGAGTCGGAGGTGATCTTCAAGGTTTTGATCTCGGCAGAGGCGGAGGGGACAAGAGTAACGAGGAGGGGGATCAGGAGGAGGAGGGGTAGTTTCGCCATTTTCTAGGGCGTGAAAAGGGTGGCGATGCTATTGACGTGGAGGAAGCGGGCCGGCTAGAGGTGGCGACGGCTACGGTGGTCTCGATGGAGGACTGGACTAGTAAAAGTTAGTATAAAAATGCACGAGGCCCGGCCGGGGGATTCAGCTGAAGGTGAAGGAGACTTCTTGAGTTGATTTTACGCTTCGGTGCTTTTCTTTTTGTTCTTCATCTTCTTCTTCTTTTTTTTTTTACTTTTCCTTGGGTCGAAACTTTTCTTTTTATTCCAAATTTACCGTTTCCGAAAAAAATCTGCACTAACTGGGACCGCTTTTTCTAGGACAAGGAAGTTGCAACCCCCAACCCCGTTGGTTCAGCACACAATAAATACATTCCGTTGAAATAAAAACACTACTAAATGGAATAATCTTAATAGAGAAAATTTAATACAAAAACGAAGGAAATCAAATCATGGGAGGAGTTAGTTTCCGTTGACTAAGAAATTCTAGAGAGGAAGTGGAGAGGACGAGCATATGCCACAACCACAAGTTGTGGTTTTTTATTTTTGGGTAGATAATATTCCAAGTTTCCAACCAACCTCTTTTGGCAGACAGCAACAATAATATGTTCGATAAGTTTTATACTAGAAAAAAAAGAGAAAAAGAAAGAAAATCATAAAGAGAAATAACACAACAAAGAAAAGTATTACGCACTCAAGCTCAAACTCAAGGGTGACATTTTCTTTTTCTTTTTTTTTTATGTTTTTTATTTAACATTTACTTATAAATTTATCGCTGCCTATAGATTTTATGTTATAATTATTTCCACTTTACACTAGAGAAACGGAGATCTAAAGTGGTCAGGAAAAATCCGATGAACCAATATCGATTCAGACGGGTGCCTATACATTTGCTGGCGAAATATTTTTTAAGAAAATTTAAATATTAGAGTGCAGATCAAGGAATTAACAAACAATGGCTACCCTTTCTTGCTTTTACTAGTACTATTGATAATAATCACAAGTAAGTAGTACTACTACTTAGTATCTAATAAATTATGAATTTACTAATTTAGTGCAAGAGAAAACACGGACAGGCATTAATGACTCAGCTGGTTTGCTATCCAAACCTCTTCATTAAATTCTCCAAACTCCAAACTTCAAAGCATTTGAAGGGAAATGACAAATCTCTTTCCAGTTTCTACTTTCTAGTGCTTGACATTTTTGTATTCAACGGAGTGCGCAAACTACAGCCAAACCCACAAGCGTTAGCAAATCAAGACACTACCACGTTACTCCGAACACGCATCCGCCTCTCTCAAGTCTCCACTACTTTTTTTTTTTTTTTGGGTCAAAATAAAAAAAAAAGATACCTTCAAATATTCACAGAATCTTTTTGCACGCATGGTCGTTAGATAACCAAAACTTTATCGACACAGAAACAAGAGAATAGTTTTACTACTTGAGTTTCTTGAGCTGCGGAACAATTTTCAATTTGATCAATTGATCGGTGAAGGCGGCAATCATTTTTCAGGGATATTTTATCAATTCTTGAACTTGTAAGATCTTATTGACTTTTCCCCGCTTATCTTTTTCTCAATTGCACTTCATGATTATTTTCATGTTCCATTCATCTTATTCTCATCTGGGGTTCGAATGTGAGTTTTTTCGGACTGAAGTTGTGTTCTTTAGGGTTTTAATTTACCCCGAGATGAATTTGAATCTTAGATTTTTGTATGCAAGGTTTTCATGAGAGTTGTATTCATTTTGGATTATGTCTTCCGTGCAGATATTTTGAATGCAAGAATTCAAGCATTGCTTGCGGATTTTGCTTCTTACGATTCTTTTTGAGAAGATGGCATAATTCTTGTCATGATTTGGGTCCACTGTGGTTAATTAGGTTGTCGAATACTAAGATCATTAGGACTTTTAGATTGCATTTGTATTCTAAAGGGTTCATTCTTGGTGGATAGAGCAGATGAATGTGGTGGTTAAAGTCGGGAGCCTTCTTACACAAGGGGTGTACTCTGTTGCTACCCCATTTCATCCATTTGGTGGGGCTGTTGATATAATTGCTGTGCAGCAGCAGGATGGTAGCTTTAGGAGCACACCTTGGTATGTTAGATTTGGAAAATTTCAGGGTGTTCTTAAGGGTGCAGAAAAAGTTGTTCGAATAGAAGTTAATGGGATTGAAGCCAATTTCCATATGTATCTCGACAATTCAGGAGAGGCGTATTTCGTCAGGGAGGTTGTCTCTGCGGAAGATGGTGAACTTAATGGTGGTTTGCATCCTGCTGATAGTCATGAAGGTGTCCAAGAGGATAATAACATAGATCAAACTAATAGTGGCACTAGTACGAAAGATGATTCTCTTTGTTTAGATGAAAGTTGCGATTCCCATACTGGTGAGTTTCAGTTGCGAGATGAGCACGTTGCCCTTGGTGTAGATAGGTTGCAGAGAACGGAATCTGATAGTGAAAGGCGATTCTATGATTTTCCGGATGTCCAATCTTCGTTTGAGGGTTCAACTGAGTTATCAGAGTATGGTTCTGGCCGTTATGATAGTCTGGACATGGATCATGTGATGGAATCACAGAATTTGAGTTCAGAAGTTGTACTGGTGAGCGTGGATGGTCACATTCTTACAGCACCCATCTCATCATCGGAGAGGAATACTGAGGATGTGGAACTAGACACGCCTCAGTTTCATCTAGGCCCAGGTGAAGGGACCGAAGAGTTTAACAATAGTGAAGGTGCATGGGCTGCCAATTATTTGAGTAGCTTTGACGTATCAACACTTAAAGCTAATTCTGAAGATGTTTGCAAGACGAATAATGATGATAATATTTCTGAGCCCCGGCTGGAAGGAAATGAAGGATATGGGAGCCATCTGAATCAAGTTGAAGAAAATCATGAAACAGAGAAACAGGTACTGGATCTTCACTATGATAGTAGCTTGGAGAGTACATCTGCCAGCATGAAGGAGGAGGATGTCTTCGGAAGCTGTTTGGAGATACCAGCCCTGGCCATGCAGGTTGGAAATTCCAGCAGTCATGATGCCAATTCTCCATTGGAGGTTCTTGAAGTTGCCAAAGATTCGCAAGATAAATCTCCTCAAAGATCACTATCAATTACTGGAAGTGAAGGTGTGCAACTTGTCATATCAAGAGCTGAGGATGAACTTTCTCCTTCGATATCTAATACTTCCGGCAGTGTTTCTTCACCAGACTTGCAGGTCCCAGCTGAAACAATTGAGAGAAATACATTTGATACAGATATAAGTGGTTCTGCTAGCATGGTGGATGATTTCATTCATACTAATGGAGAACTCGAGAAAGAAGTCAATGTGTTATCCAGGCCACAAGCATCCATTTCTGAAGGAGAAATTACAATAAGTGACAATGTGGAAACTGAGAAATCTGCTTATTGCAAAGATATTGAAAATGATACAGGAACAAGTACATCCTGCCTCTTGGTTTTAGTTATGATTGATGTCATTGATTATGCAGGTTTACATGACTTCTACCATACTTTTCTTGAGTTATGAATTTTAAATTTTTGCAGGCTTAGAGTTATCTCTTTGCAGACACCTACTTCAATCTGGCATGGGTCTGAATGCAGCTGCACAAGCCTTTGATGCACACCGCATATCTGAAGAGGAATTTAAAGTTTCTGCAGCATCGATTATTAATAATGAAAACTTAGTTGTCAGAATTCAGGGGAAGTACTTGCCATGGGATAAAGCTGCTCCTATTGTTCTTGGTATGGTTGCATATGGTTTGCAATTATCTATTGAATCAAGCGATGCAATTTCTTTGGAACAGGATGACACTAGGAAAAGCAGGGAAGATGCATCTGGAATCTCTTCGACTCCTTCTGGGCGTGGATGGAGGCTTTGGCCAAATCCATTTAGAAGGGTTAGGAGAATTGAGCATGCTAATAGTAATTCATCAAACGAAGATGCAGTTGCCGATTCTGAATCTGGCTCGCAGAGTCAACCTGTAGAAGCAACCCGAACTGCTCCTGATGGTAAGGAGTCTCCTCAGAAGCCACTTATGAGAACAAACGTTCCTACAAGTGATCAAATTGCATCTTTGAACCTAAAAGAGGGACAGAATATGGTGACATTCACATCCTTTTCAAGGGTCCTAGGACCTCAGAAGGTCTTTCTTTTTCTTTGCAATCACGCACCCACATTCTTTTTTCTTGATAGACATATATAGTTAACTATATGCCATCCATTCTTAATGGGAGCCATATCTTCTTAAACAGGTTGAAGCTCATATATACTTGTGGAAGTGGAATGCACGGATTGTAATTTCAGATGTTGATGGAACAATCACCAAGTAAGCATGTCTTTGAATTTATATCTGCTAGAAACTCAGAGCTTTCCATATGTTGAACAGCATTGAGGATACTGCTCTTAATTTATTAAGCTGTTCATTCTTCTCTAGATTGGAATACTATCTTGTCCTGGATAAATGTTCAACTAGATAGTGATGAATCTTTTCAAATTGAGTAAATATTCATAGTTCATGAACTTTAGTTTATAAGGTATTTGTTTGAGGTAATTTATGTGTCTACATCACATTTCTCTGTTTTTCTCTTTTTCTGTGGGGGGTTACGGCGTGGATTAGAAAAGGATTGATCATGAAAGAGTTTGAAAATTAGAGATTCTAATCATCAGGGAAAGGTGAAATCGGGAATTTTACTTGTGGTGGTTGATAGTCAAAGATGGCTGTCTGTAAGATGTAATCCAACAAATAACTTTCTGATTCTTACTTTAATCTACTGTTTGTGAACATAGATGTGATTGTTGTGAGTAATATGCCATGGCTAAGCGGCACTGCTTATTTATTGCATTTCAAGTTACTCACTCTCAGATACTCGTTTATGCTTGTTTGTTAGGTCCGATGTTCTTGGTCAGTTCATGCCCTTGGTTGGTAAGGACTGGACACATTCTGGAATAGCTCGACTTTTCTCAGCAATTAAGGTAGTTCCTCCATTGGTTTTATCTTTTAAAGTTATCTTTTCCTTAATCTATGTCTTTCCTTTATTTTGTTATTTTGGCACCATTTGCTGTGCTGAGTGATCTAGTTTCATTTTACAAGCATAAACAGATGTCTTTACATGGATGTTTGAAACTTGTGTTTATTCATCTAGGTGTCCAAGGTGGATAACTTCTGTTATGTTTGGTGTTCAGAAGCAAGTTTTGGAGTTTTTCTCCTCCTTCTCCACATGTTATTTTTTTGGGAAAAGATGTGGACAGAAATCAGTGTTTCAGTGTTATTTGTATCATTTTGCCTATTTATGTACATCTTGTCTTTACTGAGAGCTCATTTTGCTGGCAAAAGTGAAAATACATTCTGCCTATTTATTCTTTCTTGTTTTTAACTGACACTTCTCTTGTGATTGTCCATTCATACTGACTCTAGTTACTTTCATTGCACTATACCACTAACATTTGTTGCTTTATTGGCTTACAATATTGATCCAAATGTTGTGCTTAAAAACAGGAGAATGGGTACCAGCTTCTGTTCTTGAGTGCACGTGCAATCGTTCAAGCATATATTACCAAGAGTTTTCTATTTAATTTAAAGCAGGTGAGCCAAGTTTCTGGTTTGATTGTTTTCCAACTCCTTGTCGTAATAAAATGAGCCACTTGTCTTTCCAAGACAAGTTTTTTCTGAAGTTTCTCCCAGGAAAGAGTCACTATGCTTTTGACTAATTCAAATGCCTTTTGGTTTATGCCATTGAGTGAACCTAAACCATTCAGCAATTATTGGCAATTAGAGATGGAATTTTAAGAAAATCTTTCACTTCTAATAATTTGTAATAAGAGGACAATAAAAATGTTAGGGTTTATGTTCTCAAAAATCAATTTGCAATTTGGGGCAGTTGATTGACATTATTTTCTTGTTCTTTCAAATCCTTGAGGTACAATGTCGTTGATATGACTGCTATTCTAAATGAACAGTATTATATCTCTTTACATTGACATAAAACTTCTATGGTCCTTTTATAGTACAAGTATTTTTTCTCTTGCTGTTTCTACTCCATGCATATTGATGATGTGATGCCAGAGAAATAGTATCACTGGGGGAGGAACATTGTTTTAATGCTCGCAGGATGGGAATACCTTGCCAGATGGACCTGTTGTCATATCGCCTGATGGTTTATTCCCTTCACTATACCGAGAAGGTGGCATTCCCTTCCCTTTTCTCAAGGATTTTTTGCTCTACTTCTTGGTTTGTTTTGTGAAAGTGCTTAAACCATTATGCAATATTTTGTGCTTAGTTTTAGTGATCATCCTGTTTTTCGGTTTTGGCATTATCTTGGATACCTTCCGCTTTCATCATTTTAAGAGTTTAGGCAAATAGAACAATGGATGCTGCAAGCTGCAGGTATTTTGTATAGTCATGTCATTATGTTTTGGTGGTTCTATTTAAAGCATGATTTTCCCTCTAGTCATTAGGTGTAGAATTGTTGGGATTTTCAACAAGGAATGTATCAATATATTCTTCCATAGCTAGCGTAAAACATCCCGTGAATGTAGTTGTAAAGCACCAAAATCTTTTGTAACCTTCGTTTCTGTGGGTCTTCACATATGCATATGAACGAACAAGTGAAGAATATCGCTTTGACATTGCAGTCTCTTTACCTGCCTTTGTGAAAAGGCTAGATTTATTTTACAGCTATTGTTATATTCTGTGAAGAGACACGTCCATTGAAATATCTGATTGTGTAACTAAAACTGAAAAATTTGTTATAGCTTGACCTTCCATCATATTGATAAATTACTTTTCGGAAAGTGAAAAGATATCTGGTATATTGCTCTGTGTGCGCGTGAGTTTTTTCATAAATAAGGAGCTGCAAGAACCAGTCACTGCTCTGTGAAAATTCCAATATTTAGATGATGGCAAGAACCTGCTTGTGTTTCCTAATGACAAAGAATGAGAAATGCTGTATCCTTCTCGGTCTCTTCAAAGAGTTTGAATTTGGTGGTGTGCTGCCTGTTAATCTGTGTATTGTGCAAGGAAATGATGAGTTTGGAATACATGTTTTCTGTGGATGGCAGTGATAAGAAGAGCTCCTCATGAATTTAAGATTGCGTGTTTAGAGGTAAATATAAGAGCAAACTTTTTCTTAGTGATTAACGAATGAACCCTTTAAGCTTTGGATTTCTTTTCGATGCATCCCTGCTGGGACGCTAAAAACAGTATACTTTGCAGGATATTAAAGCGCTTTTCCCTCCTGATTACAATCCCTTCTATGCGGGTTTTGGGAACAGAGACACCGATGAGCTCAGTTACAGAAAGATTGGCATCCCAAAGGGCAAAATATTCATCATCAACCCTAAGGTTATTTATCACTTGCTAATGATGCGTACCAGTAATTTGTGATTCTTTCTTCTTCTTCACTAATTGTTTGGTACCGCCAGGGTGAGGTAGCCATTAATCATCGCATTGATGTGAAGTCGTACACTTCACTACACACGCTGGTACATGATATGTTCCCGCCTACATCGTTGCTCGAGCAGGTACTCCCTCCTTAATACTATAGTAATGCTTCCAAGTATTTCGGGGTGCGGGGCGCTGTCTTACTTTTTGACTTGATACTGGTATTCATCAATCATTGGCAATGACATTTCTGATGTTTTATGATCCGCGCAGGAAGATTACAACTCGTGGAATTATTGGAAAATGCCATTGCCAGAGATTGATGGCTACTAGAAGAAGAAGTTTGCTTCTCACCCTCACTGACAAATTTTTCCTTCTTGGAATCAATAAAGTGCGGCAAACCGTCGTCTGTTAACGACAGGCTCGTAGCTGATTTCTATGAAAGAAGAAGAAATGGGGCGGCAGGACTACTCAGTCGTATACGATCCTCAAATTAATGTTGATTTTTATGTAAAAAAAAAAAAAAAAAAAATCCACTTTGTAAGCATGAGCGGGGTTAATATTGTACTGCCATTTGGCTCATTCATTTCTCATTATCTTTATCAATCTAATAAAGTGTCGTACCAGCAATTGTGGCCCCCGAAAAAGATACCTGGTCTGATAAGGTTAAGATCTCAGAAATTGGAATATAACCGTCGGGTCCGAGTTAATTACTCCTATTTCCCTGGTTTCTGCATTTGCTTACAGTCAAAGTGGGATTTTGATCAGATGCTTAATAACCTGAAAAATCAGATGCTGTGGTACTTAGTTGGAACAAGCCGAAAGGGTGTTCTTGATTGGGAGAGTGGGACTCCTGAGAAAGCAGATTTGGCCTTTCGTTTGGTACAAGTTAGAAAGCCATGGGGTAATGAAATCCCAGTCAGACAGTATAAGCTTTTGGAAATGTCAGGTCCTCATGTGAACAATCTGAGGCGAAGCTCCAGAAGGGCGAGGGGTGCCCCTGTCCCCCTGCGCACAGGAATGTCTATATATCATTCTTATGGGATACAGGGGATGGTGGCCTCTCACCTGTTACTTGAAACATTTTTTCACTGGTAAAAAGAAAAGGGTGAAAGCTTCCTAATAACTAGAAATCAATTAGGTGGCGGGCTATCTGTCCTTTTTTTTGGGGCGTAATGACGCATCTAGTTTAGTTTACTCCTACTCCTACTCTAATCTATTTTAAGAGGGTGGTTCAACTGAATCAAGAGAACCGATATGGACTGAATCACCGTCGGATCAGATGGATGTATCACGCATCCGTATGAATTTAAAAAAATTCACATATAGAGTGATATATTGATGGAAAATAAGATTTAAAATCTTAACCTTCCACCCTCACAATTCACGTGGACTGTCTGTCCAAAGACCCTTTTCTTTAGATATCATTCATCTTTAGGAGTATCTATCTATCATTCTTATGGGATAGGAGATGGTGGCCTCTTACCTGTTACTCAACATTTTTTTCACTGGTAATAAGAAAAGGCTTAAAGCTTACTAATAACTAGAAATCAATTAGGTGGCGGGCTATCTTTCTAGTATCTAAAGGCCCTTTTCTTTATTCATCTTTTTTTCCTCTCAGTTCCGTATGGCCCGACTGAAATAGTAGTGCCATGGTGGGGTTTGAAATCGTCCTTGAGGCTTGAGAGGGATGGGACGGAGATTTGTTAGTTACAACTTACAACAAGGATATGCAAACAAAAGAAAGCCTCGAGCCTGGAAAACCAGAACCTTTCCATTCTTTAATGTTTACACTTTTCTTCGCACATACCATAGTAGCAGGGGGTCAAAAAGACATTTTTTAACAGTTTGATATCTCAAAAACAGTAAAAGTGTTTCAAAAATCCCTGATTATAGTAACAAGTAATACTAATACTAAATTAATTAATATTGTGTGTGTTTTGAGGAATGGGCAGCGTTCTTGTACACATGATGACATATTGTGCTGCAGAGAAGAAGTGGGCGTTGCAGGGAGGACTGTTCAACTGTTTCTTTTGTAGTAGTTTTGATAGCAGAATGGGTGTCCTGAAAACCTCCGTAGTGGGTTTTTTGATTGCTCTTTTTGGGAAAAGCTGCAAACCTCAGTAGTTAATCACGAAAACGGTCAAAAACGGTTTTTCTCCCTAGGAGAGAGAACGCCGTCTGTGGGAATCGAACCCACGACCACATGGTTAAAAGCCATGCGCTCTACCGGCTGAGCTAAGACGGCAGCTTGTCCTCAAAGCAATGAGGATGGTCTTTCTGTTGGTTGTTGATGTTGATTTTTTATTTTAGTAGTAAAACGGTAAAATTATGCCCATCCATGGAAACGGGCAACGTTAATACTGCTATTGTGTCTTTTTTTTTTAACTTGTCTGGCTCTAACATCTGTTTGGACAGCAATATATCATCAGATGGGTCTGAAGTCTGAACATGATTGATTCCGTAAGATTAAGATCCATCACACAAAAGTGCTAGAATGGCACCAAAACAAAAGCCGATCACTGGTCAGAAAAAGCTTGAAGCTGCTCTTCTCTAAGTCCAAGTCTAACTACAATGTGGATTTCTTCTTCATGGAACTTCCTCGAGATTAGTCCAATTTTCTTTCATGAAATTTACGACGTTTTCATCCACCAAAAAGCACAAGAAGATTAAGAGAAAACCCACTGCTAAATATGAAACATGACCAGCCCCCGAATTCCTAATTTTTTTTTTTTTTATCGTAACGGTAATAATTATATAATCTACTCCAATCTAGCCTAAGAGAAGGAGGAGGAGTTGACGGTATTTTCCCTCGGAGGAAGCCACGATTAAGTGGCTGCCCCACGAATCTCCTGATTGCTTAGTTCCTTTCGATCCAAACATGCTACCATAATACTCGTAGGCTAGCCTTTTCATGACAAAAACCACGCGTATATGACAGTCTAAAATGAGGTTAAAGCCATGTTTTAGCTCGGCACGATCTTTTTTTTAAAAAAAAAAAAAAAAAAAAAGGTACTGTAGCAATAATCTACTAAGTTTTGCAAAAAAAAAAAAGAAAAGAAAAGCAAACTCAAAATGACTGCAATTCTCTATGCTTTTTCTAACTTGGCACCATCTCCGCTTTAAATGATGCTCTGTCTGCCCTTCCTTCTCTCTTCTCTTCATCAAGCTCAGCTCCCCATACGCTTCGCAGGCACAGGCCACAGAGGTCACAGGGTACAGCAGCCTCTGCTCATGTGAAATGGCCACATATCTTTCATCCTGTCCCGATGCAGATGAAGACTATATAGACATGGAAGTGAGCTCTTGTCACAGCTTGTTTTGTTGCTCAGAAAAAGCTTCTCCGCAGAGCAGGGAATTTGAGTTTCAGATGTCCTCCTCTGCTTCCAACGACAGAGAAACCACCCCTTCCCCAGCCGATGAGCTCTTTTACAAAGGCAAACTCCTCCCTCTTTACCTCCCTCCGCGCTTGCAGATGGTCCAGACGCTTCTCCAAACCCCCACCATCTCCGCTTACGAGTCCAGAAAAGAGGCCCTTGCAAATGAAGATGACCACTGCGGCATTCCCTTCATTGGCAGCTTCACGGCACCCTCAACTAATACCAGCACCCCCCTGGATTCCTGCAACATATCTCCATCAGAGTCCTGCAGAGTGAGCTGCGAACTCAATCCATCCGAGTACTTCTTTGGGTGGTCAACTGAACTCAGCAGCTTCATCGGGGCCGGGGGCAGTCATCCGAAGAAATCTTGGTCTAAGAAGCTCAAGATGATTAGACAATCTTCCCTAACTCAGAAGCTCAAGGCTTCTCGGGCATACCTCAAGTCACTCTTTCGCAAGTCTGCTTGCTCAGACGAGTCCGCTGCCAAGGCAGCCTGCAATTTAGAGGCTGAACAAGTTCCGGGTAAGTACGTTAAGGTGGGAAAGAAGGCCCCGTTTGGACATTTTGGAAGAGCACGTCCCACTCTTTCTAATTCGGTAAAGAACGTCGACAAGGAAGGAATCGAGGAGAATATCAGCCAGCATAGGAGGTCATTCTCAGGCGCAATCAAACGTCATTCTCCATCCAAGTGCTTATCTTCATCCTCATCCTCTTCCTCTGGCTCTTCTTCTTCTTCTTCATCGTTTTCAATTAATTCGAACGTGCTTTATGAGTCGCACTTGCTCAAGAGGAGCAGCAGTGCTGCTTCCGACATCGAGATCTCAATCGAGTCCGCAATTGCTCATTGTAAAAATTCTCAACAGATCTTCAATTCAAGAAATACAGAGGACGAAGCTGGATTCTACTCATTGCCTATTTCCAGGATTTCTCCCGCTGAAAATCAAGGGAAAGCAGGTGTCTGTAAGATTTGAATATATTTTCTTCTCTCTTTTCAGGAAGGAGAAAAAATAAAGGGATAGATTTCTTGACGACCGAGAGAGCAGAAAAGTTCGCACTTGGTATAGGCATCGATTTTTGTCAGTTGGATTTCATAAAGTAACTTGTATCATAGTGATATTACATCAAAAAAAATTTTCAGTGCTTAAAAGCGTATGCACATTGAGTATTGTCATTTGCTAACACTTCCTCACTAATCCAAGATAATGGTAAAAATTATAGTCAAGAAACCACACATTATAGTATACTTAGTATTATAGAATCCTGTTTAACTAAGAATTCTCGTAGACGCTGTTCTTATCAGTTACTCCATAATTCGAAAGAAACTCACATCTGACATGAACTTTTCTTTATTTTATCTTGTTTTTGAGTTTTAGCTGACCTGCTTTATTTTTTCTGCAACTTTTCATCTTCCATGAAGAAACTAAAAAACTGTCCCTATACATCATTACTGCAAGCAGCAACTTTAGTGAGGCCAATCCTGATTCCTAAACTCTTTGTTCATGAGTTGTCAATTTGTCATAATTTCATGCTCTCGTTCGTGAGAAAACTTCGAGAAAGTAAAGTGAAGAAGGGAAGACAAGGCTTTTGAAGAAGCTCGAGAGAAATGAGTGTCTCCTCCAATCCATAGACCTGAATGATGGCGAACTTTCCAGCAAAAGACTTTACTCCGCCCTACTTTTAGAACAAGGTATTATTGTCCTCTCCAACTGGATTCTGTCACAGTGTATCAGGCTTTATCCACTGTCCGAATTTTATACAGGTCGCAACTAACACTCCACTTCCACTTCCACTAGCCACTAGGTGGATGAATAAGAAAGTTACTATTCCAGTCAACTATATCGTGGGAGAAAGAAAAAAAAAAAAAAAACTTGAAAAGCTGTTTAGTAGGCCTGCATAAGTGGGGCAATGGAATTAGAGTTTTAAAATTAGACCCTTCCCATGAAGAATTATCTAATCTGTCAAATATCTATGATGAGCTCACATGAATCTGCATTCCGCAGGCTTCAAATGGGAGATGTCTGAAATATTATTACGCCAATCGAATAGGGCTCAAGATCTAGAAACTCTCAAGTACATGAAGTTGATGATCTTAAGTTTAAGTCATAAGGCTAATGAACTTAAAGTTCGACGAGTCTATCAAGTTTCACATGATCTATTATAAATTATCGTCCGACCCAAAATGTAAACAAACAGAAGGCTTGGGCTCTGGATAAGTATACAGGCATGCAGACAAATAAACCTTATACTGTATTATGCGTGCA